AAGTAAAACCACTTTGAGTATTGCCGCATCGAAAGACCTTTTTGGTTCTTATTTCATTTTAATAAGAAACGGTCGCTCTAGAAAACGTGGCATGTTTTTCAGAAAGAGTATAATTTATTATATTTGCTGCTTCAGACTTACGAATGTCGTAAAATACTTCTTTTATGTATTACGTAAATGGTTATATGGTTTTAGTTTAAATTGTCATAGCTTTTATTTATGTTGATGTAATAATATTATTAATGTGAGTTTATTTTCAGCTACTAGTACCTACCAGCAGCAATTAAATTAAATAATAATACTAAAGCAATTAATAGCGTGTAATCTATTTACTTCTTTAAACTGAGTAAGTTAACTCTAGTGAGTAGTCCGCTTTTACAAAACTTCTAAATAATTTAGTAAAACAAGTTAAGTAGATATAGATACACTTTATATGCCATTACCTGCAATAACGTGCACTCGTTATTAATTCTCTAAAGTATTTAAAATATTTGACTTTTTTATCTTCGACTTTAGACCCTATCTTTTTTTTCTGTTAGCATAAGCTATACTTCGTGTTTCATTTCTATGAGATTGCATTAGAAGAAATTAGACAGTAAATGACCATCCGTGGAGCGAATGTACATTAATTTATCTCCACTAGACATATTATATGAGTGTAGACTCGTAGTCTAATTGAAATTAGTATAGCTAAATTGGTTTATATAATCCACGTTCCATCCAACGACAACCAACCTTCAATATCATTTCCACCTCTTATACTATTTCCTAATTTCAAAGTAAAAGTGGAATTAATGAGAAGGGCAACTTATCGGTTCCCTCTTCAGTCTTTGTTGAAAAGCAACAAGTTGAAAATTAGTTCCCTCATAGGACAAACTTAAATGTTTTCCTATTAGAGTGTAGGTTCTAGGTTCTTTTGATGTCACCAGTTCATAAGAACAATTTACAAATTTCACTTCAACAGTCACAACAGAGTAAGTGGTCGCTTCATCTGTACAAATACTCAGTACGGGCCGTGTGGTGACGGATTAAGAATACGGAGTGTCAGCACTCCTCTTCATCCCGTGGGTGTCGTAAGAGTCGACTAAGGGAGCAAACTACATACGACAACAGCACTGCAAAGAGAAGGAAAACTTGAGACAAACCCTATACCAACCCGTCTGGCCAGCGTGGTATAGCAGGCCAAAACCTCCTTTCTAAGGAGAGGCTTATATCCAGCAGTGGACTACTAAAGGCTGTTGATGATGATGATAATGATGATTTACATAATACGAGATATCGCGAATAAGAACCAATGCACAACTTTTCGCATCAGTGGCCAGTGATTAAGTCTAACTGAGCGACTGTTGGAAAGCCTCGCTAGAATATAAGTAACTAAACACGGTCCATTCAACAAAACGTAAAGTAAAAGCTAATGGTTCAAGAATTTAGTTTTGGTAGCCCTTAAGATATATTTACTGTGTATTACTATTAATGATAAGAAACACTGTAAATTCGATCAATATGTCGATATTATGTAAACCTTGGCTAGTAAAAAAATAACAATCAGATAGTTCGCTACGATTTTGAGGCGTGCCGACCCATTTATATACAAGAAATTGGGTTCGCCTGATTTATTGTAAGTTACTTTGCATTAATGCATGTTTTTTTCAGATCAAGTACTGGTACGATTGAATAGGTAAAGCCTTTACTTCCTTTCTTAATTCATTGCTTCAAAAAGGCTCAGAACAAAAAAGAAAACTTATTTTCTAAAAATGAATTTAACATTTGTCTATAAAAGTAGGGTTTAGCATTTTAGAACTAACCTTCCTTGAAAGAATATAAGATTCTTAGCAGACATTTTTATTTCTGTTACTGTATATACATACGCTATATAATTAGGTATATGCATGTATCGAAATTGCGTTACCAGTTTTATAAGTTTTGAAATGAAACATGTGTTAAATTAAGTAATAAAAATTTGGTCTGGATACTAAGAATACCGAAATCGTTTGAGTTAAACTCTTTCTTAAAACTTAGTTTTTATAAGAGCGTCTAGCTGTTAAGTTTATTATACAGATCGCTCAGTGGTCGAATGTCAAACAATACCATTTTTGTGTATTTCTTTGCCTGACATTACTTGTATTATCATCATACCTATAGATATTTGTACAATTCTAAATCAACATAAATACTACGCTACTTGAGTATCGTATGCTTAGTTTATCCATTTTCGTCTAATTTTTTAATCTGTGACCCAAAGTTTATTTTTCCGTTCTGCACTTTTTTTTAGGAAACTGAGTTTTTTTAAATCACGTTCCCTCATTCGCGTAAGAGTTAACTACAAATGTTATACCTATTCAGAATATAATATAACTACGTATTCAACAGAGTACTTATACTTCTAAGATTCAATGGTTACAAATGGTTCACAACGTAAGTAGTGTGGTTCTGTGGTCTACAATTGTTTATATGGTACTTACCTACAGTGTGGGTATCCTCAAACCTATACGTTATCACTGTACGTACGCTAGGGTTCAGCCGCATCGCATGAAAATTTAAGAATCTCACGGGAATTGGCAATGCATTCGGATACATATGTATTTATTCTTCTTGGTTACATTCTTTGTTCTAGGGTAGTTTAACATTTTAAAAATATACTATTGCACTCTTTTTACAATTTAATTTTTATATATGTAATAAACGCTTTAAAAAAAATCCTAAAATTTAAGCGTATGAAATGCTTAGGGCGCCTTATTAATCAATTTATTTTTAGTCCCATCTAGTCTGAAAATTTACTTTTTTATTAGTATAAGGGAGAAACAAGCAACTCATTTACCTAAGGGAAAACAATCATTTAATATTAGTTGTAGGTACCCTGCCACGCTTGCCATTGCATTAATGTAAAATGAGGAACAAAACTAACGCGAAAAATAGATAAAAACCATATTTGGAGCGGTTTGTCGATATACAAACCGCTCCAAATATTGTTTTTATCTATTTATATAATTTTACACCAACATAACAATTTTTATATATCAAGACTTCGAACAAAATATTTGAACAAGGCGGACTACTGCATTTTCTAATATTTGTGCTTTACGAATACTAAAAAAATCTACCTTATCTACCATTATTTCTATACCTTTGGGTACTTTATGTATTATGCTGCTCACTTACCAACAACTATCGTAGTATACTTAAGCAACTAGATCTTGGATAACAGAACGGATTGTATTACGGCCGCATGGTCTCCTCAGTACTCTATCTACATTCTGACGATATTTTTCGAAGTCAGCTATTGATCATACAAAGAATATGATACTATTTAATCTGTTTTTTTTTTAAATAACTTTTGGTCCATGGTCCCTGATCTTCTTGTGATAGTCGTAGCGTAAAGTAATAATTAATGCAACACGATAATAATAAGCGCATTTGAAGAAAACATAAAAACTCAGGCTTAATGAAGTGTATTTCTATATAAGTAGGTACACTATATTTAGCACATATGTATATATCCGTCATCGCGATAAAAAGTAGCCTATGCCTTTCCTTAAGAATATAAATATGTTCATACCAAATAATTTCTAAATCGCTTCAGCGGTTATTGATTCCCCATACAAATATTCACCCCCATTAAAGGATAAGTTCTGGAATAAAAACTACCCCATGTCCTTCCCCCGGGACTCGGACTATCTCTATACCAAACAGCTAAATCGGTTTAGCTGTTTAAGCGTGATTAGGTAACAGACAGGAAGACTTTCGCATTTATTAATTTATTATTTACCTACTGACCACGGATCTGAAACACTTTTCTAAGGCTTTTACCCTATTTTTGACAAGCAAACACATGAATATGTAGCTGCAACAGCACTGCAAAGAGAAAGAAAACTTATACCAACCCGTCTCGCCAACGTGGTATAGCAGGCCAAAACCTCCATTCTAAGAAGAGGCCTATGTCCAGCAGTGGATTATTGATGAGATGATGATGTAATATAGTTGTTTATGTAGTTACTTACGCAGAAGTTTCTTACGCAATATGTTAGTTGCTTGATAGTAATAGCTCTTTCATTTCTCCGCTGTGAATAAAATTCTAAAGTTCTGTAAAAGGTTTGAATTCCTTTTTTCATGCTCTAAAGGATATTTGATGTTGATAGAACTTGTATGTACAAATCTTTGCTTGGACGCTTTGCTTTGCTTTTATATGGAATTTTATGAAAGACGCGATCGTTTATTTAAAACGCTGTCGATAACGTTTATAGGTTAGTATGATTATATCTCCAGTTATAGTAAGCGCCATAAACTACGGTCGAAAGTTGTTGGTGTTGGGATCGATACTAAGGTTTACTTATCCACGGACGCACGGGCGCGGGCCGGACACATCGCGTGCCACCTTTAATACAAAAATATCGATTTTTCCACAAAGCCGCGTCACCGCAATCAATATACCTTTCCGCCCCGTGCCTAATTATGCCCGCCTACATCACTCAAACATCCGTAAAAAGCTCAGTAATCATGGTTGGCGGTTACCCTGATGATATCCACCCTGAAAAATAGCGCACACTGATTCATTGAAAGCGCACAGGAAAACGCTTCATTGTAAACGTTTTATTTAATTTTCCCTCCATTTACTTTTTATAATTTCTGCCGGGCATAAAAAACGATCCGCCGCCGCAGGAAGCGCTCATACATACGAAGCCGACCATATCTGGACGCACACAGGGATAGGAACACCTGTCTCGGGAACGAAAGGTGTGCTGGAACGTGTGCGAGCGAAACGACCGTATGCGAGGTGCCAGCGTACGACAGAGAGGCGTTATGCGCGCGCAGCGTGTTGGCACGCCCGCCGCGCGTCCCGCTCGCTTGCAAGTCCTCCCGAGAACCGTCAGTCTATCGCGCGCAGAGGCAGCGCTTGTATGTGCCGCCCTTTGCTCTGACGCGACCGACGCAGTGTCCGTAATCGGTGTTCGGAAAATTGTGCATGTGCGTTTTCCGACGAATGCAGTGTGTGTGCTTGTGAGATGTGCTATTGTTTTCTAGGTAACGGAGGCTCTTGTTTGAAAAAGGCAGTCGGATGCAACGTATTATTGATGCACTTGTTGGTGCGATGTTAATTTCACTTTTATAATATTTCCCATAGATTAATTGTTAGAAAAGGTGCGAGCTTAATGTTAATGTAACTACTGTTTCTTTGCCTCTGTTTCAATATTTAACGATCTGGGGAATGTTATCAAAGTTTTATTAAAGTGCGCAACTCTCGTTAGTCACGATGTAAATTTATGATCCGTTAATTGTTAGCGTCGCTTTAGATAAGCTTAACAAACTGTTAACGCTGGGCACCAATTGCACTTGCAGTGTAACAAGAATTATTAGAATCTAACAAGAATCGAATTCAGAAAATTTAAGGGACCCTTAATCGAACTAGATTGGTTTAAAATGTTTACTTTTTAAGAAAATAAAAGCTGAAATGTCGAAAAACATACGTAGTCATGTCATTCGTGTGATACACAAAAGTCACAAAAGCGAGGCTTGCAACAATAGCAACGTCGAAATTACTGCCAAGTATTGACAGCAGGAGCACTTTCTGAATCCACAACGCATTGTACTGCTTCGCAACAATGAGAAAATACACATATATAACATTTAGTTATCATGCTATTAACCTGCTATATAGTGCCTATTTTGGCAGCATGCTATTAAAAACTCATTGAAGATTTCTTGCAAGCAGTTATGACGTTTATAATTATATTTCAGCTCATTATTAAATTAGTTATTTCAATAACTGAGACTAATTGATATTAGCAAAATATATGGCGTTTACAGTTTTCGTATTTTATTAAAACATCATCGTGAGAAAACACAGACAAGTTACTGCTTTCACTGTAAATATTATATTTTGCCAAGAGAATTACTTCTAGCGCACGAGTTAAAACTTAAACATTTGTGGAATAGTTAATGTACATAGATGACTTTTTATCGAGGATGGCTGAGAAGCGAGAATATTGCTACGGTCAAATAGTCGCGAGCGTCATTAGCTCAACACATACTTTCGTGAAAAATGATACCTAGTTCAAATTGAAATTAATCTTAAAAAAAGAAGAATTAAAACAACTTGTATGTTTTTTAAGATCGTCACTAGCTTTCATGTGATCGATGATATCAATGAAGATGACAGGTTTAATAATTGATCTTAATAAATTGAATGACCTTTAAAATACCAGCGGTACCAATAAACTTCCTAGCGCAAGAAATGTGAGGTTAATTGAATTAATGAAAGAATTGTCTAGTGAGAATAAGAGTTGAATCATACAATCGTTACATGTCGGAAAAATAATAATTGAATATAAAATCAAAAATGAGTGTTAAGAGTACGTTTAAGTTTTAAGGATGTCTAAATACACATTTTAATTAGTATCTTGAACACTAACCAATTTCCTAACGGAGGTCACATGAATGTGAATAACAAAAATTTAAAATAACATTGTCATTTAGGTGATGTGGGAAAATGAATCCTCAATGTACCTATATACTTATTCAGTTTTGGACACAATGCATCTAAAAATAGATACAACAAATTTTAATAAACTCTGTTTTTAAATTAAATCGTACTCGTTTTATCTCTATGATATTAGGTACAAGCAGGTTTATGTGCTTCGATTTCTTGTTTGATACAAAACATTAATGTAAATTTACGGTTATTATATTTTATAAATTTTAATGGGTTACAAGAAGTAAAATTGTATTATTTGTTTTACGAAGGTATTTGTTTTTTATTAGGTATTACTAGTAATATTCCCTTTCAATGTATGTTTTAGATCTTGATTTAATACTCAAATCGTCTGGTGGTCGAATTTTGATTATGATTTCATAGACCAGTACCATGACAGATCGACTTATAAATTGACTTATAAAACTTGACATATAAAAGGTTTTCGTAGCCATTGTCACCCCCTTCTTAATTTCTTTGAATATTATGATAAGATTTTTTTAAATTAAATACAAGTTAAGCCAGTCTTAATGAGATATATTATTTTTTAGAGTTAAGGATATACACAAATGTCTAAATATACTTATGTAGTTTTTAAACAATGAGTCATGAAAATGACCTATAGTTTGATTATCATACTTCGTAATTCTTTTTTGTGGCTACTTCTTATGCGTTTAAGAGTTTTTAAACAACAGCATACCTGTTCTATTATGAGTTTTTTTTTCACCTAATCTATTTCTCTGGTTGTATTTGGATGTCGTAATTACAGTTTCAAGATCATTTGAATCAGTTGTAGTTGTGCCAAGGTCTGCTATTGTGTACGCTTGCTTTATTACTTGGCCACATAAGGCTGACTAATTGCTGCTTGTTATTTAATTTGACTAATATAAATACTCATTCACGTTTGCTTTAACAGTTTTTGAATGCACTCACGAGTCGTCCAAACATATTTATGTATGTTGTTAACTTTCCAAGAGTAGAGTAGCTAAACAATTAAATCTATTTCCAACTACTGTTAATATTTTAATCAATAACTATACTTAAACAACCTTCGTAGTTCGTAATTTTTACTTAATCAAATCGATAAATTCGGTCTAAAACTAATACAAACATTATTGGTAATGTAAAATATTTAGACCATCCTGAAAACGGGTCAAAGTGAGGTTACTTAAATACTTGGCAAGAGACATCAAAGCCTGTCGCATGTCGTAGAGCATAGGTATAAAATAGCGTTGATAGGATTTCCACCCACGAGCAATTTGTTTTGTATGTTCAGGAAAACGATCGGATGGCATTGATTTGCAATAAAAAATATTGCTTTGTCACGATTTCCGTGGTTCGGCCTCTTTCACCGCGAGCTGCAATCGCTCGCGTGCTGTAATGACTAGCAAAAAGGTAATAACGTAAAATATTTGTATTTATGAGATTTTTTATAACTTGAGATTGATTAATGTTTTGATGCTTTCATCTTTGTCAACCTTCAAAATTTCATAATACTCAACAATAGCATACTTCAGACGTTGCGCTAGAAACTTGTGGGTAAAATATCGTCTTCTGCAGTCAAATGTGTTATCTTTTGAGTAGATGTGACTACCTTTATGTTTTCTATGAATCTAATTTTTTTCTCTTAGTCTTATTTAAAGTGCGAATGGTGAACGTTATAGATTTTAGTAAAATTGTTTTAAAATATATTTACATGTTCTGTGAGAAGCGAATAAGATTTAAGCAAACAACAACAAAATATGTTAGACACGCTTGAATAGTCGTGTTGTATAGACAAAAAGTGTTTATCATGAAATTCATTTACTAATTTTCTTAAAATTTAGAGCACTTTTCAGTAGTAACATCACTTTGGAGTAAATGTAAATATTTGCAGTAATAAAATCTGTTTAGGTGATTAGTTTAATTTTACCTAACGCGTTTTCAACCATTGCGCACGGAGCACATGTCGCTCACGAATGGAAAATTATACGTAAAAACTTTAATACTATTTTCATTGCTGTCTGGGCTGAGATGGCTCGAACATTTGCACTATGCTATACACTTTGAGCATTGGCATGTTTTGTTTCATTACTTTTGGACCACTTCAAAAGATTGACGATCTAAGTTTAGTAAGATTTTTGAATAAGAAATCCACCATTTGGAACGTCAGTAATGAATGTTGTAAAACTAAAATATTTTTTCACATTTAATTATTTTTTTCAGTTGGTTATGCATTGTTATAAAAATGATCAAAAGAAGCAATGAATGACGTAAACGACTTAAAGATTACGAAATAAGATACATAATAAGTATACCTCAAATTGTAGGATTTCATACTATAAAACAGACTAGAACAGATCGTGCGAAAGCTTTCCTATGTTAGTGTAGTTAGTGAGTGTAAGGATGCAGTATAAAAGCAAGTTTAAAAAAAAAAAAGCATGATTGCTTCGTTGACAGCAATAAATTAGCCACTTATTACGTAAGTGGGACTAAAATTACAGTTGCCGAAAACATCGGCGTTTTGTACGCCTCTGCCTTCTCTTTTAGGTATACAGGCTTGACTGTATGTGGTAATGATATAATATAATTGCCTTATGATGGCATCTTAGATCTACGACTAAGCATACGTAAGCGTTTCTCCGTTTAGTTGTCTTGCTACAATATTATCTCGTATTCCTAAATCTTTCATTCTTAATCCACCTGATTAATTTAGTGTGAACATGGTTGCGGCAGCTGGCGCTTTAATAACTATGACCGTACCGCAGCTGATGTCATCGTCTAGCAAAACTTTAATTCCATAAATAGGTGGCCTGTGGGCGTTCACAATTTCTGATCCTAAATGGGTAAATAGGCACAATTTAGGCCACCGCTTCACCAGGGCCGACCGTCTGATTCAACACTTCGTTGCGGCAATTAGATTCAATTTGCGAGACTCTCCGCTCACTATGAATATGGGCCCGCGGGTAGTAAAGGTTCATTTCTCTCGGAAGTAGACTAAATTCCGTAAGAAGAGATTCTAATTTACCTCTAAATAGCCACACTAATTAGCTACCATGGAGGAAAAACTTTTTTTTCATTAATGCTAAAACGGAAGTCATTTGCAATGAGTCTCGTGGTCAAAAATGTTGTGTTAAAATACCCATAACAGAATAAACTTTATTTTGATTTGTACAATTAACCTATAAGTTTGATAATGCGAGTGTATCAATAGGTTGTCTAATAGACTTAGTTAATGAACTGGGCTTTTGATAACCACATTTGTGAAATTGTATTTTGTTGGTTGAGATAACGGTTTTACCGTTTCATGATGCAGATTTTGTTATTGAGTTACCTATGTATTTTCCTTAGTTTCTCATGACCAAATTTACAATCAAATAATCCAACTAAACAACATTATTCGTAAATGGAGAAACGTGTAACGTGTATGTGGAATCTGGTAATGATGTATATTTATCACTAGGTTACAAGATAAAATAGCGATTCTTATATAACAGAACAAGTTTAGTTATATGTAATATAATAAAAATTTGATAGATAAATGTATGTTAAGTTGGTTTGTTCACACTAAAAT